AATGGCAAATTGTTTTTTTTTCCGATATTCTTTTACTGCCTCAGAAAAGCAGGCCACTCCTAACCTCAAATCTAGGGCAGTTTCTAAGCGGTGGGGGTCCCTGCGGGGGAGAAAGGCTGTGGAATGGTCCCTAAGAGATAGGGACACTAGCAGACAAGGTGCATTTTATCAGGGCGCAGGGGATTATATTTTCCGATAAATTTTTTCCACTTGATGGAATCACATTGAATAAAAGATTTTTAAACTGTGAAGTGCTTAAACCTGAACTGATAGACTAGTGAAAACACCAGTCAAGAGGATGGGAGAGAGAACTAGGGATGTGGCTCCAAGTAACTCACCCAGCCACCAGTGAGATTTGACTGTAACGCTTCCAGAGGTGACTGGAACAAGAGTTCACTTAGAGACATAAAGGGGCAAGAGAGTGATCGGCAGCAGTTGGTAGGACAGCTACCAACTCAAACCAAATTGGGTGCATGCTAAGTCGCCTCAGTCGTGTCTGACTTTATGACCCCATGGACTGTAATCCACCAGGTCTTCTGTCCATGGGATTCTCCAGTAGGGAATACTGGAGTGGGTCGCTATGCCATCCTCCAGGGGATCTTCCTGACCCAGGGACTGAACCTTATGCATCTCTTATGTCTTCTGCATTGACAGGCAGGTTCTTTATCACTAGCACCACCTGGGAAAGCCCTCAAACCAAATTAATAAAACACTATTTTCAGGGGACTTCCCTGGTGGTCCAGCGGCTAAGACTCTGCACTCCTAATGCAGAGGGTCCGGGGTCCATCCCTGGTCAGGGGACTAGATCCCACATGCATGCAACTAAGACCTGGCACAGCCAAATAAATAAATAATTTTAAAAATAATAATAAAATACTATTTTCATAGGATTCTGGATATGATTGTTATCATTATTTTAATTTATACCTTTTGTCTGCACCATGTGGCATGTGGGATCTTAGTTCCCCAACCAGGGATTGAACTGGCACCCTCTGCAGTGGAAGTCTTAACCGCTGGACTGCCAGCAAAGTCCCAAGTTTGTTTGTTTCTTTGTTTTCCATTAACTTTTATTGGCATATAGCTGATTTACAGTGTTGTGTTAGTCTCTACTGTTGGATGTGAGTTACTTTTGCATCTGTATTTTATGTTGTTTTTCTATAATTAATTCATGAAAACATAAAACATTCATAAAAACTGACATACAAAGAGCTTAGGATGAGAACACTTTGGGGCCCATGTCATCTTGCACAGTGAAAATATGGTTACCAGTTACCATGGTTACCAACGTGCACTTCAAACCAAAGAGCCCTCCCCACTGAATGTTCTGCCCTGGATAATACTCCCAGGACCTTTCACAACTTGAGGGGAGCCCCTTCTCACCAACCCAGCATGATGCCATCCTGAAATTTCCTATCTCTATGATATCAATAACAACCCATGCCTTTATATACTAATAATACCAATAAAATACTGGAGAAAAAAATCTATGGAGAGAAGTAATTATTTGAACATGATTACGGGCCAAATTTCTTTCAAGTATTCATCTGTTGAGTTCCTACTGTATGTCAGGCATTGTTCTGGACCACAGAGGCTGATTACAGAGGTGAATAAGACAGCAAAATGGATGCCCTCACCCTAGTTCTGAAAATCCAGGAAGGTAAAGACCAACAGGGTACCTCTGCTGCACCACAGCAAAAAAAGAAAAGTTTTAACACTTCCACATCCGAGATGGTCTGCTGAAAGAGCAAGAAGCAGGCCTCCAACTCAGGGTCCACTTTCCCCCTCCAAATCTCAACTGCAGGGATCTGCTTGGTGAAACTTAAGCCACCTGTAGAACCCAGGATTCAAGATACTATGGAAAAGTAGCTTTTAGATTTCAAGGTTCTGGCATTCAGTGAGGCACACTTGTTGGGGGGTGGATGGGATTCAGAAAAGAAATGAGAGAGCCAATCTGAACACCAGCCACATGTATCAAGTGGACAGTGGGTAAGGCTAAGGAACAGCAGTGGTTAATGAATGGGGGTGCCTCAGAGGCTGAGGGAGAGCTGACCTGAGTTCTGAGAAAGTGCATCCTTAGCCAAGCTTTTGTGCCTTGGGACTTGGGAAGCTGCTGGCAAACAGCCTCCTCCTCAAAGCTGGGAGAGAAAGGAAAGGCCAGTCCTTCAACTGGAAGGAAAAGAAGACGGATGCTTTTGTTCCCATTTTTATTTCCTTTATTGTTCTTATTCGCTGAATTAGAATCAGGAGAGAAAATTCAGTAGTTGAATCAGTACTTTGGAAATCTGTTGCCATTCAAAAGGTCTTTTCTTTAATGAGGCATGGAGGATAGAATCCAATAGACAAATTGCAGGGTCCCATGCCTGTAGGACTATCTGTTTGAGTGACTCCTGGAGGAAAAATAATCCCAGCACTGTAAGTGCCTGTGTTCTGAAAGCAGAACCCACCCCTGCACGCCATGCCCCCTCCAAGGCTCATTGACCCTTTCCTCCAGACCTCATGCGGACTGGCCTGGAAATCATTTCACTGCAGGCTGAGGGTAGCCGCTGCCAGCGAAGTGCCCTGCCTTCCCAGAAAACCTGCTCCAACCCCTGCCTACTTACTCAGCAAGTCCTCATTCCAGGCAGCTGATCTTGGATGTCCCCCCACCGTGTAAACAGAACCAACTGGGAAACTATATTCTGGAAGGAAATATATTCCTCAAGTGAAAAGGAAGATGAAAACTCAAACACATTCAGTAATGTAACCATGATGGCACATGGATTTTCCTACATCCCGAGCCTCTGGGGCTCCCTTCCTATTCTTCTTATACAGCCTTGCTTTAAGGTATAGGAATAAATGTCACCCTGATAGCCCTTAGCTCTCTGGTTTTCTCCATGGATTCCTAGGGGAGGAGAGGCCATCTGGCAGAGGGGATAAATGAAGCAAGCTGATCCAGGTAACTACATGTTGCGTTACCTACTGAACCAACCCAGGATCTACTCAGACTTCTTGTTACATAAGATAATAAGCTTCTCCTATTATTTAAGCTAGTGATCCCCAACCTCTGGGATCTAATGTCTGATGATCTGAGGTGAAGCTGATGCAATAATAATAGAAATAAAGTGCACAATAAATGTAATGTGCTTGAATCATCCAGAAACCATGCCATCCACGGAAAAATTGTCTTCCACAAAACTGGTCCCTCATGCAAAAAAGGACCACTGATTTAAGCAACCTTTGGTTACAATTTCTCTTACAGCTGAAACTTCCTGAGGATGGAAAGAGGAAATTTTGTTATAGATGTTGTCCAGAAGGGCTGGAGCAGGTAGTGAGAGCTAAGAGATGGCCTCAAGCGGCCTTCATCAGGGCTATGCTACTCAAAATGTGGTTCAGGGACTTGCAACATCAGAATTACCTGGGCATTTGTTAGGAATGCAAATTAAAGGGCTTCACCCTACATGCACCAAATCAGTCTCTGGAGGCGAGGCTGGGAATCTGTATTTAACCCTCCAGTAACTATACTTGGAGAAGGGCTTCCCAAGTGGCTCAGATGATAAAGAATCTGCGTGCAATGCAGGAGACCCGTGTTCCATCCCAGGAAGGGGAAGATCCCGTGAAGAAAGGAATGGCAACCCACTCCACTATTCCTGCCTGGAGAATCCTACCAAGAGAGAAGTCTGGCAGGCTACAATCCATGGATTCACAAAGAATTGGACACGACTGAGCAACGGGGCTGGGAATCTGTTTTTTTAAGAAATTCTCCCTCCAGTAATTTTGATGCAACTGTATTTAGAGAAAACACTGACTTAGGAGACTGCTACAACTGGGAATGTGATCGGTCCAACAGAGGAAGTGTTGGGCCTCTTGCTCAAGGCTGACCTCCCTGAAGCTGTTCTAATCCTCTAGGCCTCAGTTTCCTTTTCTGACACAACAGTGTGAGATTCGAATGAAGAGCCGGTTGTAAAAATGGTTTGAAAGAGCTAAAATCTTGATCCCCTAGGAAAGTCCCTGAGCTGACTCTGTCATACCAGGGGACACGGCATCCAAGGCTGCAGACAGACGTGTTGGGCCAGGCTGGACTCTGCCTCGGCAGCCTGTGAGCTTATTTGGACAGGGCGTGTCTCCATCTGTGTCTCCAGGTGTCCAGAGGAAGACCTGACGCGTAGAGGGTGGAGAGTTACAGCCATTCTTAATTAAACTCAATTGCCCCCGTTTTGAATTTTCTTTTTCGGATTGCTGCTTGAGTCAGCCGGGAAAGACTGGAAACCCAGGTTCTGTCTCTGCGGTTAGAAGCGGGCCAGCCCCTGTCGCAGTGCTGCCCTTCCTCTCCTACAACCTCAGTGACCTCAGCCGTCCTCCCTCAGGTGATGCTCAGGTTCTCCACTGAGGTGACCCGGTCCTCCCGGATTCGGATTTCCCCGGCTTTCGACGCCCAAGGATGCACAGGACCCGTTGCCCTGGAAACGTACGAACGATTAAATCGTAAGCCCTCTCTCTCCTCAAGTTGCTAGGTGTCGACTGAGATGCGGAGCCACCCTCCACGCCAAGAAGGCCCGGCTTAGAGGTGGTGGCCGCGCGCGCGCCCGTTGCGCCGAGCCAGTGTTAGCGGGTGGAGAGGGCGAGCCCGCTGACCAGACGGCCAATCAGAGCAGCGCAGGCCAGCGGTCTGGCACCTGATGGCTACTAAGACGCGGGCTGAAAGCTCTGTCTGCCCTGAGATTGGTCGAGCTTCCTGCCAATCGGGGGCGGAAGCTAGCGGGGTTCGGCCAATAGCGTGAGGCAACTGGGTCAGGCCAGTGGCCCTGTGGTCCCCACAGTGGTCGGCTAGCCAGTCGGCGAGCCGGTCGGCGCTGAGGGAGTGGCCGCCCTCCAGCCTGTGCGCGCTGCGCTCTCGGCCCCTCCGGCCCCGCCTGTCGGCCGCGCCGCGTCATGCCAGGAGCTGCTGGGTGCTAGTGCCCGGGCCGCCGCCCTCCCGCCCGCCCGCCCGCCCGAAGCCGCGCCCACTGCCCAGAGCCAGAGGGATGGTGGTAGTCACGGGGCGGGAGCCAGACAGCCGTCGCCCGGACGGTGCCATGTCCAGCTCCGACGCCGAAGACGACTTTCTGGAGCCGGCCACCCCAACGGCCACGCAGGCGGGGCACGCACTGCCTCTGCTGCCGCAGGAGGTACCTGGACCCGGGGAGGGGTTGGGGGCGCGGGAAGGGGTGCAGAATGAGGAGCCAGTGTCCGGCAGAGCTGACCTTGGGATGTGAGCAGCGCGGAGGTGGAGGGTCGGGGTCGGGCCGAGGGCGGCATCAGTCCTCTCTGCTCCCCTACCCACCCTGCTCCCACCACCCACCAATCCTCCTTACCCCTTATCAAAAGCACCAGGTGTGTCTTCCCCGTCCCAGGAGGCACCTGGCCCTCCCATCCCCCTCCTTCCAGGATTCACTGCCTCCTGGGTTGGTACTCCCATCCCTTTGTCCCACCCTTATCTACTGGAGGAGGGCGGGTAGGCCATGGGAAGGGGCCCTTAGAGCCCCAAGAGATAATAGTGTTTTCTAGAAAATCCAAGAAGATGCCTGGGTAGTTGTGCAGACCCAGCCTCCAGCTGCCCAGAGAGTGTGGGTCAGGGGCAGCGTGCAGATGTAAAGCAGGCCAGTTCATAGATGTCGCCTTACCCACCGGACAGCTCCACGGCTCTGCCTCCTAGGTGCTGTGCTGTGATGCACAGTGGCTTCCACTGGTCTTACTGAACGCATGTGACACTGTCATGTGAACACCTGAAATGACCCTCCGGAGGAAAGAAGGAGGGGCCCGGCTGGGCACTGAAGACAGAGGCTAGGAGATAGTGGCTAAGGTAGTGGCAGACGTGGAAGCATGTGACAGGTGGCATTCTAGATGCAGGGACTCAACCCCAGAAGGGCAAGGTGGGCCTGGGTGAGGCTGTTGGGAAGTTGTAGTGTCCTCTTGGGGTTAGGAGGCTGTGCTCTGAACATCATGGGGCACTTGTGAAATGGGCAAAACTCCAGGAGGACTTTTGTAATTGAAGAAAGAAAAGAGCCATTGGAGACACAGGGTGCCCCCCCCCTTTTTTTTCTTTTTTTGTGCACTGTCACTGGGAAACAGTCTGTTTTGAGAGAAAAAGCATAGGACCTGGAGACTATAGGCCAGCACTCTAGTGCCTGCTCTTTCACAGATTACATGGCTCCATGTGAGTAATGTAAAATGTTGCGTGGCTTCATATGAGTAATGTAAAGTATTATTATCTGCAAATAATATTTGAGTCCTTGGTGTGCACATAGAATAGTTTTAGAGGAGCTAGCTGTTGAATAAGCAGAAGGCATGTCCTATGTCCTCTGGGTGCAGACGAGTAACATCACCTACATTCACAGAATGTAAATGCCTGTCTGTCTGATTCATCCATTCATTCGATGCTTATTTAGGGTTTTACTATGAGCCAGGCACACTGCACAAGACCACTTTGATGTAGTGTGTTTGTTCCTACTTTCATTTCACAAAAGGATTATGAATGTTGGGAGAAAGGACTGTCTAGATAAATATACACAGACTTTCACAGAGCCAGAGCGATGTCGTAATATTGAAAAGTATGCAGTGGGATACAATTTTAGTTAATCTGGAGGAGGTTTGTGGGAAAATTAGAGAGAATTGGCCTGGTTTCTTTCAAAGTCACAAGCAGTGAAGAGATTAGGGGGAGAAAAAAAAAAAAGAAGACCCTGAGCATATTAGAGAACCTAGAGCTTCTCAGGGCAAATGTTGGTACCCTCATTCCCTGCCCTTGATTTCAGAACTGTAACTGGGCTGAGGACTAATCTCACTGCACAGATTAAGGAGGGAAGCAGAGAGGTACAGAGGGTGAGGAGTGGATGCCTGGTGTTATTCAACAAGCATCTGTGAGCCCTGCTCTGGGTGGCCTCAGAATAGGTGAACAAGATGCTGTCCCTGCCCTCGGAAAACTTGGGCAGTAATAAATAACCACCAACAGTACAAAGCACCTATTGTGTAAGGCACTATTATAGAGGAGAATGTGGGTATAGTGAAGGCACAATGGTGGGAGTGTTTAGTTAAACCTATCTTGGGGCAGGCAAGGGATGATAGAGTAGAATCGCTCACGCAGGACTTCCCTGGTGATCCAGTGATTGAGACTCAGTGCTCCTAATGCACAGGTTAGATGCCTGGTCAGGGAACTAGACCCACATGCTGTGACTAAGACTCCCGTGCAGCCAAATAAATATTTGAAAGAAAGTTAAAGGAAAAAATTTCTCACAAAGCAGGGGATCTTGAATAGAAGCTCTTAAATGAGTGGATGCTGCTAACCCGTAGGTGCCTTACTGTAAATTAGCAGAAGGGCGCACAGCTGGGCTAGTGGAGCCTGCTCACCCAGGTGCACTTGCGCAGTGAACATCACACACTGCCGTATGGGGCAGTTGCATTTGCTGAATGGACAGGAGTGGCAGGAGCACTGGGGACATGAGCAAAGGCACAAAGATGGGAAATTCAGAAAGCAGAAGGAGGACGGCGAAGGCTTTGAACTCTGGAGCAGAGGTAGGAGGACTGCAGGGAGGAGACCTGATTTAAGAGCTGTGGAAGGAGGAGGGGGAGGACTTGGTAACTGATGAGTGGGGTGGGGGGATGGGGAGAGAAGCAGTCAGACGCCCAGGTTTCGGGCAGCCAGGGCTCGCCTCCCCAGCTGCCGGACTGAAAGCGCCGGTGATTCCTCCCCAGTTCCCTGAGGTCGTCCCCCTTAACATCGGAGGGGCTCACTTCACCACACGCCTGTCTACCCTGCGGCGCTACGAGGACACCATGCTGGCGGCCATGTTCAGTGGGCGACACTACATCCCCACCGACGCCGAGGGCCGCTACTTCATCGACCGCGACGGCACACACTTCGGGTACGTCCTTCCCTCTGCCGTCATCTGCATCGTCCTGGTGAGTGAGTGGCCTGGGCTGGGGCGCAGGACCGTGATACCTTCCCTAACACCTGGAAGAGGAGATAACCTGCTGGTGGGATTTAATACATGTGCACTCTGAACTGGATCAGACCTGTTAGTTTCTTTCCCAGAGGAGGCAAGGACAGCCCCAGACATCCCAGGTAACACATGTTGGGTAGGTGTGATGAAACCGCTTCTCTGCTATGCAAAGACCGGAGAGTGGAATTCCACCAGCGTCAGCATCACCATTAGGGAGGAACATGGCGTGTGGCAGTGCTTCCCAGACTTCTTTCAATAGTTTCAAACAAACAGGGAGTTAGTTCCCTCGTGGTTTAGTGGTTAGGACGCCATGCTCTCCCTGGCAAGGGCCTGGATTCAGTCCCTGGTTGGGGAACTAAAGATCCCACGAGCTGCACAGTGCAGCAATAAATGAATAAATACAAATAAAACAGGTAAGGCAAGGACCAACATAGGGTTGCCATCCTATAGTATTGCCAAGTCTTTTAAAAAAAAAACAACAAAAAATAGCTTCAGTTGTTACTGTCATTTTAACAGTAAGCCATGGGAAGACATAATCTCAAAAAAAAAAAGTCTTTCCCAGAAATAACTTCTGACAACTTTACACACAAGTTAAAAACTTTGTGTTTCCGTTTCCTTGTTTGTGAAATGAGAAATAATTATAGCTGCTTTGCAGGCCTGTCATGTGGATTAAATAGACTCTTGGTGTGACCTCTGGCCAGGTCCTTTGAGTATATGGCTGAAGCTCTTTGCCCCATCCATCTAACTTTGGAGATGACTGGAGAACTAGCATGGTCCTTGACCTTGAACAAAAGAAAACCCTCCAACTGCTACATCTCTGTGCTGGCCTCCAAGTAGGCTTGCCCATACCGGGAGGAGGGTCATTTTTCATCCTCAGAAAGGAGCCTCTGGTCAAATAATTTGCTTTGAAGCATCTGGGTTTCCCCATTGGGCTGTCAGCTGCCTCCAATGCTGAGAAAACAAAGTGTCACATCTCTCTGCAGAGCTATAAAAAGATTTTTGTTTGCAGGCTGTTTGGGGGAGGAAAGTGCTGGCCCCAGCTGGCATCTCCCACAGCACTCCTCGCTGGGCCTGGCCCTGGGGTTATGTTTTTCAGAGCTCACTGAGGTTTGTCCTCAAGCCTAAAGGACTAATTTTGGAAGGGGTGATGGGGAGGGGGCACTAGGTGTGGCCCTGGGCTGCTGTGCCCATGCTCAGCATGGGCCACAGCTGGAGAGTGGCAGGACCAGGCAAGGGTGTGGCAGAAAACAGGATACTGTGGCATTCATCCTCAGGCTACTGGACTCCAGTGGCCTGTGATTCACCAGCAGCATGTGAAGTTGTGGAAAGATTCAGATAAAAGAGTTTAGGGCTTTTTTCTGTGGGTGAGCACACGGGCCAGCACCCACTGAGGAGGCTTCGTGGGCCTCCCCCGGGCTGGTTTCCGGTTGGGCTCATTACATAGCACTTTGGACTAAAGTCTGGACCATTGTGGGCATGAGCTTGCAGTCACCTGTGTCTGCATCTGGGCCTCCAGCTAGCCATGGCTCCTTTAGTAAGAGTGTTCCTTAAGCTCTCTGAGCCCCAGTTTTTCCTCATTTATAAAATGGACGCAAGAGCACTTACCCCATGTGATTGAAGGGATTATATGGGATAACACCTGAATAGTGGCTGACACAGATTATTACTTAGTGAGTGCTGGCTGGTGTTGCATCATGGTCATTGACTAAACTATTGAGGTAACAGCTTGATGTTGGCGTTTACTCATACACCGTCACAGAAGAGCCCTTCCACACCTACCGGTGACAGGTCCAATTACTCTTAGCACTGCAGAATCTAAAGAGAGAACTGAAAGAGCTGAATTTTTATTTTAAGAAAATACAGCATGTCATTTTTATTTACCTGAAACCAGTTTGTTCAGGTGTCAGGGCTAGGCAGTCATCTTCTCCATATAGCATAATACTGATGGCCGGGATGGGTTGGGGGTGCAGAACTCGTCCACGTGGCTAGTGGGAATGAAATGCTACAACCACTTTGTCAAACAGGCATTTATGACCAAAAAGTTCTCCTGCTGACATTTACTTAAGAGGGATTGGTCCCCAGGTCCACAGAAAGTTTACAGGGAATATTTATCACAGCTTTACTCTTAAGAGACCCCAAACCAGAAGCAACTCAAATGTCCATCAGCAGGAGAATGGGTAAGTAGTTTATAGCACATCCATATAATGGTGTGATACTTAGCAATAAAAGAAAGAAAAGCAACAAAGGGAGGGAAATTCTGCTGCATACAACATAGGAAATCAATCTAAAAAACACTAGGTTGAAGGGAAGGAGCCAGGCACAAAAGAGGACTACTGTATGATTCCACTTACATGAATTTCAAGAAGAGGCAAAAGTACTCTTTGTTGATAGACGTTAGACCATTTGCCTCTCTAGTGATTGGCTGGGAAGAGGCCCAAGGAAACTTTTAGGAGATGGGAATGTTCTGTATCTTGATGTAGGTGGTGGTTGTTATGGGTATATTCATAGGTAATATTAACTATACCTCAATTAAAATATATAAAGAGGTTAAATATCATATCTTTTCATTTTTCCTATATGTACTTAATAATTATATTAATAATGGTACTGATAACAACCACTAACACTTATTGAGGGCTTACTCTGTGCCAGATGTCTTTCTTTCTTGGCCACACCATGCAGCATGCGGGATCTTACTTCCCCAACCAGGAATTGAACCCATGGCCCCTGCATTGGGAACATGGAGTCTTAACCACTGGAAGTCATTGTGCTGGGTGTTTTCTAAGCACATTTTTTATGTTAACTTATTTAACCCCCTCATAACATGATGGAGTAGTTTTCTGACTCTCCCCATTTTACAGAGTAGAAAATCAAGGCACAGAGAGATTAAATTCTCTTACCTGAGGTTACACAGCGGGCCGCCTGGGTCCAGAGCCTGTGCTCTAACCTCTGGGTGGCCCTGTCCAGGTCCATCAGCTCCTCCTCACCCGCCCTCTTTCTTTCCTGCTCAGGGATGTGCTGAACTTCCTGCGCTCGGGGGACCTGCCACCGCGGGAGCGCGTGCGGGCCGTGTACAAGGAGGCCCAGTACTACGCCATTGGGCCCCTCCTGGAGCAGCTGGAGAACATGCAGCCACTGAAGGGGGAGAAGGTGCGCCAGGCATTCCTGGGGCTCATGCCCTACTACAAAGGTGAGGGGGCCACTACCCACGCAGTCAGGGTGCGAGGAGGGAGGGTTGCGAGGCATCTGTCAGTGTCAAGATCTCCACCAGGAGAGAGGGGGTCACGGCTTCCTACACACCTGTCGAACTTGGGATGGGAGAGAGTCCCGCTTCCCTTCCTGCCGTCCTCTCAGTCACCGGGGGGAGACTCAGGTGAAATAGGGCCCACCTTGCCTGCAGCGTCATTAAATTGCATTTCAGAAAGAGACCCTCATCCTGTCCCATTGGTTTCCTTTGGCCCTGCAGAACTGCCCGCCAGCCCTGGTGAAGTTTGTGCCCCTCGTGGGCCCACGCAGCGCCCTCCCCGGGGGTCTGTCTCTTCCCTCCAGGGTCCACCGTCACTGGGGTGGTCTCTCTTTGCTCCCTGCCCCACCTCCAAGCTGTGTCCAGTGATGGGCTCTGTGTTCACCCCTCGTAGACCACTTGGAGCGGATCGTGGAGATCGCCCGGCTGCGCGCCGTCCAGCGGAAGGCCCGCTTTGCCAAGCTCAAGGTCTGCGTCTTCAAGGAGGAGATGCCCATCACCCCCTACGAGTGCCCGCTGCTGAACTCGCTGCGCTTCGAGCGGAGCGAGAGTGACGGGCAGCTCTTTGAGCACCACTGTGAAGTGGACGTGTCTTTCGGGCCCTGGGAGGCCGTGGCTGACGTTTACGACCTGCTGCACTGCCTGGTCACGGACCTGTCGGCCCAGGGCCTCACCGTGGACCACCAGTGCATCGGGGTGTGCGACAAGCACCTCGTCAACCACTACTACTGCAAGCGCCCCATCTATGAGTTCAAGATCACGTGGTGGTGAGTAGCGCTGGCAGGGAGCAGAGTCCCGTCAGGGAGGGTAGCCGGTCCCCTTGGTGGCTCTGGGAGCGAGGTCCCTGGAGGGGCTCCTGGCTGCCCCAGCACCTCCTGAGGTGAGGACGGGTCCTGAGGCTCGGCTCCAGGGGGACGGAGGGGCAGCCCTGGTCTCCCCGGCTACACCTCGGGACCAGACTCGAGGCTGGTGGCCCCCGGGGGACCTCAAGACACAGTGGTCTCTACCCGAGGCTGATGGGGTCCGGTTAGCGAGGGCTTGACCAGCAAGTCCAGAGAGGTTTAGTCATTTTCTTGACCTTGCAAGAGAGTTTGTGCCCTTTTAGAGCCATGTTGCCAAGCTGATGTAGGCGTAACCACTCCTCCACCCTTGTGCTCATTGTCTCAGTATGAACCTAGAACATGGTGGGGGGGAATTTGCCCATGGCCCCCCCCCCCACAGCCCCTGGCTGAAGAAGGAGCATCTTCTTTCCTTCTTCCCCCAGCGATAGCCCCACGCTTCATTTTAGGATGTGGAAAGACTTTTCCTCCCAAGACATACTTTTCACCACCTTTTTGAGACGTTACCCTAGTTGCCAAAGCCATGCACCAGGTTGGCCTTAGAAAAGCACAATGTTTACAGCCCTGCCTCAGGGCCTGGGCTTCTCCTCCTTTCCACCAACCTGCCTTGCTTGAAGGGTGATGGCCTCCTGGGGCTGGAGTGCACATTTCAGGGACTCCTTCTGAAGTCAGTCAAGCAGGCAGGATGTCTAGATCTTCTTTGAGATGTAACATCCATTCTAGAGGCTCAGAATCCCTGCTTGGCCGCTATTCCATGTGTTAGGATCCAGTTTACGGTGAACCTCCCTGGACGGGGATCCCCTGTTGCTTTTTCCCGGTCAGTGTTCTCCTTCCAGGAGATTGTCTTGGGGAAGGGAAGAAAGGGCTGGGGGAGAGGCGCAGCTGTCCCTGAAACTGAGGGATGACAAGCAGGAAGCCAGTTTGGAGAGAAAAAGATCCAGCAGCTTCTGCTTCACCGTGTTTCCTCCTTGCGCCGTCTGCAGCCTGGGGCCGCCTGCCAATCGGGAGTGTGGGCCCGCGTCCCTGGGAAATACTCTGCAGCCCCAGTCGTTGGAGTGGGTGTTCCCACACCACGTGTAGGGCTGCTCCCTGCTATCGCGATTGAACTTAACTGCTTCCCAGTGCTCTTGTAAGATTTTTTTTCTATGAGCCTCATCGGTCTCATTCTTCCAGGAGGAGACTGGTGAGGAGGGGGGCGGGAGCTGAGGAGAAGCAGGCCAGACCTTAAGTTCCCTCATGGGACAGTGACCCCTTGGCCCCTGTGTGAGAAGATTCCAGGGCATGGGCTCCGACTTGTACACTGTATTCTTGTGTGCGTGGATCAGGCGTCCAGGCCAGCATCTGAGGGGATGGTCCAGTCAGTGCTTCAGGTTCCGAGGTAATGCGTCCTCTCCTGTTCTCATCTGTAAACAGACTGTCACTTTTCTGGAGCCAACACCCCTGCTCTCTCCCTCCTCAGCCCAGAGCATCACAGCATTCAGTTATTTAGAGTCCACACTTGTCAGAGAGGGAGCGATTGATTCACGCAAATGCGGGTTTGCTCAAAATCAGGCCCTTACGACTTGCTGGGGGCTCCAGGGGCCCTGAATAAGAACACTGTCCCTGCGCCTCTTGCTGGAGACACCCCTGTTTCTCTGCTTCCCGAGTTGTCCTCGGGGTGGTATGCTGTGTACCTTCGTGGGGAGACACGGCTGTAGGCTGGTAGACCAGGCTGAGCAGGGATACCAGCGGCCAACTTAGAGCTCTTTCCACACAGGGTGAAAGAATTTGATGGTCACATTGGGCCATCCTCTCATGAGGAGCCAAGGCCAGGCTGCAAAGTGCTCTTGGATGTGGGGGTTTGTGGCGATGGCCTCCAAATAAAGGTCATCTCTGAGGAAGTGACCTCTCCCAGTTGGGTTCCCTTTTCGGCTGTCAGTGGCCAGGCCCAGAGCATAGGAAGGGTTGGGTCAGGAAGGAGGGCTCCAGAGGACAACTGCTTCCCAGAGTGAAAGGAAGTCCGTGCGCATGGAATTCTTGTGCGTAATGTCCGTTGGTCAAACCAAAGGGCTTGCCTTTGAAGCCTCCCTTACGTTTGACTTTGGGTACCTTTTTTCCCAGGAGCTCTGCTCAGTGGTTGGGACGGTGCAAGTTTTAGGAGATAGGACTGCATGGTGCAATGCTAGCTGCAATTTAGTAAGATTGAAAAACTTAACGGCAACTCAGTTTGCAAAGATTGAAACACAACCAGTGAGACCCCTCCCACCATCCCAAGTGGGAGGAATTCTTTGGGTGACGCTCTAAATTGAAGAAATAAAGGGATCGTCACTATCTTTATTCAACTTCTGGTGAACTCACCAGGCTGTCCAGTGCTTAGCATGTGGAAGGCAGTCAACTGTGCTCTGCAATTTTCTGTCTTTCTCCCTGGGATTTGGGACATTCTGGGAGCTGTCTGGAGTCTTGTGCCTCCAGCTGCTCAGGTGGTGTCATCTTCCTGTTCTGGGTCGCTCATTGGAGGACTGGGAAATTGACAACTGCAAGCCACAGCGTCGGGGAGCCTCAGGGTGTCATCTTGGTCTAAGCTGGATCCTCCAATGGTTAAGACAGATAACAACAAGAAAACAGAAACCACTCACACCCAGCATTTTGATCCCCATTAGGATTTCAGATATCTTCCTTCTGCATACCTTCTGTCCGTATTTGATTGCACTGTAAGTGATTATGCTCTCTCAGGTACCATTTTGCTGTGGCTCTTCCAAGAAGGTGGTGCCTGCCTCATGCTTACAACAGAGGATTTATTCATCAGAAGCCAGAGTGGTGGGAGCAGGGGTGGGAGAGGCACTTTTTGAAATTTCTGAAGAATCATACATGTACACACATATGTTAACTGGGGGAAGGGTGGGCTGGCTGAGGGGTCGGGGAGATGGGAACAGAGACCAAGAGGAGGAGCAGGCAGTTGCCTCTGGGTGTGGGAGGTCACGGGTCCGTCGTCTTCCTTCTGTAGTGTTGGGTTTGTGAACACCGTATAACGCTGCCTGTGTTCGTTCATTTTCCTGTCTGTGAGCGCTTTGATCCACAGAGCCTTGGTACCCTCACCTAGCATTAAAGTCAAGAACTAGAACCTGGGTGTCGTGCTTTTCTTATTTAGAGACGTATTCTCATCCCTCCTTCGCCCTCCAGGCTGCCAGCAAATGTGTTGATTTCTGCTTGAAACGTGGTATGTTTGGGGCTGCCATGCTAAATCAAGCAGACCCTTCCCTGAGACATGCGGCTGAACTTCCACCCAGACGTGAAGTTAAAGGGGGATGGGCCCCCCTGGAGGTCCCTCTGCAGTTACCCTCAGCTGGTCTCTGTCCCAGTAGGCATTCCCACCTGTGCCCCTGGATTTCTGGGGTTTTTATGCAGTACTGACCACTTGTTCACGACCCTCAACTTCCTCCCCTGACCATTCTATCTTTTTAGGAAGCGGGTTCACCTGATGCTTCACTGAGGACCCAGAATTCTCATTGCTGAAAGCCCTGTACCTCTTTTCTCCTGTCCTGGGCCTGCACCCCCAAGACACACTCCAGTGCCTCGGTGGGGGTCACAAGGAGGCGCCAGCATGCGTAGCCTCTGGCCCTTGTCCCTACATCTTCATGATGCTGGAGTTGGTTGAGGCCGGCGATCCTTCCAGGTATGAGAGTTGCAATATAATAAACAGAGTAGAGTCCAGAGGCACCTTGTGAAAGAACCCCTACAGGAGTGTCTGGGGCGGTCAAGGTGAAACTGGCAACTTGGCTCACACAATGAGGGCGGGTCCGGCTTTTCAAACTCTTTGGCTTCAGAAGAGGCCCCGTTAAATGTACAAGACCCCAAGAGGCCAGCAGAGGAATCCAGCTCTGGTTGCAGCTGAGAGAAGCCACTGCAAAGTGCAGGCGGGTACCCACGTGCAGCAGTGCTCAGTTGCTCTGCCCAGTCATAGCCCGCCCGGCTCCTCTGTGCATGGAACTCTCCAAGCAAGAATGCTGGAGTGGGTTGCCATGCCCTTCTCCAGGGGATCTTCCCAACCCAGGGATTGAACTCGTGTCTCTCTTGCATTGAGCCACCTGTGCAGCAGAGACCAGCCAAAACCCAGAGCTTCCCAGAGTGGACGTGAAAAGGGACAGTATTCTCTTACAGCAGCTGATGGGCATGCCAGGGGAGGAAGCTGACCTCCTGCTCACCTCTTTGCCATCCATGTGCCTTCTCGTCCCACCCATTCAAAATGGGAAATAACGGAGACTTCTTGGGACCTTACCTCTGACATATCAACCTATAAGGTCTCCGTGCCTGAATTGCATCTGGAGTTATTTGTGTCAGTCAGGAGAAAAAAAAAAAACAACAAAACTACACAGTAATTTGAATATATCTTGAATATAAATAATTACTAATTTATAATACGATTGGAGGAATGAAGGATTGGCTAATAAAGAGTAGAGATAACTATAAAGAATATAGGAATAGCCAAGAAGCAGCCACTAAGGCTGAGATAGAGGGTCCAAGGATGCATACCCCCTCCCCCAAGAGCTGATATCCAGACCTTTTTGGACAAGGCATGGCCAGGTTCGCTGAATGACAGAGAAGTCATGGGGTTGCCGTGCTGGTGACACTTGCTGGAAATCTACCCTCTGGGGTGCTGGAAAAAATCTGTTCTTTAGGAGGTGTCTTGCCAGAGGCCCTCTACTACAAAACCACCCCTGGGAGTGCTGGGGAAAGCTCTTTGTGACTGCAGATCCCCTTGTATGGCAGGAGCTGGGTGCTGGAGAAGCTATATGAGCTGTGAGCAAGCACACCAGAACCAGAAAGGAAACATCTCTCCCCTTGCAGTGTCCCGCTTATATGTGGAATCTAAAATACGGTACAAATGAACCTATTTACAGAAGAGACTCAGACTCACAGACACAAGAGATCAGACTTGTGGTTGCTGGGGA